TTTACTTAAAATGTATTTTAAACATAACTGTAGCCATTTTCTAACATTCTGACTGGGGATGAAAGCTGGTTTTTCTGGTCATTCGGGATCATTGATGCCAGCACTATTAAGTGTTGAGAATTGAGTACCACTCAAGCCGGTGCTAGGGGGCGTGAGCACGTATTCATTATCCCTCATGTACAGACTCAATGAAACCGAGTCTGCAATTATCTTGTAATTTTGTTGTGATTAATGCTTCCGAGGGATCACTTTGTTTCCAGAATTTTTTACTATTTTAAACAAAAATGTTTGTCGACCATGCATTGCCAGGCGAGTGATAAGCGTTAAGAAAGTTATGTATGTTATTGTGTTAAATACCCGTGAAACTGTTGTTCAAATTTCTAGAGGTCGTCTATCACATCCATGTGTGATAGAGCTGTCGTGTTAAGAAAAATTGAAAAAAAGACAACAAAAATTAAAACACTGCAATAAAGTTCGTTCTTAGTCCGGTATAAAAGGCATGCATTGTTTGCACGGCAACGTCCCTGCACACAATGGACAAAAACTCTCCTTAAATATCCACCTTATTCCCCAGACTTGGCACCCTGTGATTCTTCCTCTTTCATGCAAAGAAAAGCATCTCGGACTCAGAACTGAAACGTATACCTAAGGATAACTACTAGTATGTAGAAGCGTTGAAAAAATGGATTAAACGTCTAAGACTTTGTTATTCTGTATGATGATATAGAAAATAGTAAAGTATTTGCTCATTTGTTAACTTTATTCACCATTTTGCTATGCATGATAAAATATCAATTTCCTGGAAGTACCTTCCGCTTCAAAATTTTAATAATTTGAACTTTTGGCTTATATCTGTTAATTATGTAAAATATGAAAAACATGATCAACAAGGAAGGGCAACAAATGCATCCTCCAACACAAGACCACCGGCAAGCTGCCCAGCAGGACTCTAAACAGTACACAGCTTTTATAACATTAGTACTTTTTACCTAAATATTATTGAAAACACTTGAATAATATATACCACAGACCTGCTGAAGATTTGCTCTATAAATCTAGGACAAATCTTCAAGTAAAAGACAAAGATCATGTAAATAAAAACTATAATATAGTGTGTAATGTACACATCAATACACTGTTTTATTAGTTGACAACTAGGTACTTGCTCGATATAATCACGAGATTTTACAACCTAATTTGAAAACAATATCAAAGGATTGAAGACCATTTAAGAATATGGTGCAAAAAACGAGAAAGTATTGAAATTTTGCAAGTATGTGAAGTGGACATTGAAAACTTAATAAAATAACTAGCGCAATATGTAATTGTTATGCATCTGTCATCATCTCTGATGAACCAATTCTATCTGCAAAACAGCAAAGGTAAAGTGTTGTATGACGTCTTTAAAATTGGTCAAATGCTTATTTAAGTTTTGTTGTATCAATAAAATTGTATGTTTTAATACTTGATAGAGAAGATTAGATATTATTAGCAAATCAGGTATGGAAGAAAATAGCCTGAATGAGATAAATATGACCCGAGACGCTAGCCGAAATAGAGTGAAAAAAGAATCCCTAAAGAAAGCCCAACGCGGCAAAATTGTAAATATTCCAGGCTCGGTTTGATTGAACCTGTTCATGGACGGTACTGTCAAGTGCAAACTACCGTCCACGCCCCCTAGCACCGGCTTAAGCAGAATTCAACATTTAACATGAACTGGTAAGATTTAGAATTTTGAAACATCCGCAGATGTGTTCATATGGCGGTTATCATGGAACCTTCAATGACATGTTAGTGCCATTCCATGAAAAGCGACATATGATCCCCAAGTAAAAAAATGCGTGTGCCCTTTAACGAGAAAACAATGGGCGGAACTAAATAAAATGGAATTTTGAAAGGGGATCTGAGGTTATGAAGCCTGCATATCACAGATATAACGTCAAAAGACAAATTTAAAAAGCAGACCTCATATCCTTAGGGTGGTTCAATAGTATTCAAGTGAGGAATACTGGAACCACCCAACAAGAAAGGTGCCAAATAGATAGAACTAAAATATCTCAAGCACAACAAAAATGCCATGCTGAACGATCTTTAAGGATCGGAAATATAACATCCCTGATTGAATGTACGGGGCGACTTTTTACAGCATCCACACGGCACAAACAACGCTGTGACGATAAAATAGAGTGAAATAATAATCCCTAAAGAAAGCCCAACGCGGCAAAATTGAAAATGTTGCAGGCTCGGTTTGATTGAGCCTGTTCATGGACGGTACTGTCAAGTGCAAACTACCGTCCACACCCCCTAGCACCGGCTTTAGCAGAATTCAACATTTAACATGAACTGGTAAGATTTAGAATTTTGAAACATCCGCAGATGTTGAAAGTTGTATTTTTGCTGCCAGCAAAACTGTATTCTCCCGTGTACCCAGACACAACGAAAAAATATACACGTAAAGATGACGTTGAACGTTCAGCTATGCGAATGCTGCGCAATAAAAATAATTTAAATTTAAAGTCATCATAGCGATGTAACTTTTCACTATCGTTTTGAAATAATGACAGTTAAATGGAGAATATACCATTAATTGTGAGTGTTCAGATTTTCATGGTATATACGGCACGAGTGTACAAAGCATTTAAAGCCAATCAGAATTCGAGAAATTTATTTGCATTATTACCATTATTAAATGATGCTTAGGAGAGATCTTTCAATACATTTCATAACAAAATCATGCAAAAGGTATTCCACTGACGATATTTTGACATGACAGACGTGAATTTTTTTATGAGATATATCTACCATTTGATGACAGTTTGGATCAATAACTCAAGTGCCAAATCTAAGATCATTCACACACTCCGTTTCAAAATAATGCAATATGAATTTATTTTAATGAAAAGTTTCATTTCGTTTAAAATGCAATAGTTAATGCGCATAAGGGGCAGCCTTGAAACAATATAAAGAATAACGAATCAACGGATTGTTTTGGGTTTCATAATGATAACCTAATACCACTAACACAGACACATTTTAAAGTGCCAAATATACATACCTACTGTGTATTTATGTAGTTAGTCCTTATTTTGAGAATCATTGCCCATCTGGTAATCATAACGATGGCAAGGGTAAACCAATCTAAACACACACATATAATAATATCCATTATATGAGCTATTTTGTCTTGTAATAAATGCTACATCCAATAAAAAAACGAACGAGTTTTGTGCCTAAACTCAGATTTTCAAGATAGATTTGACGCATTTAACAAGTTTATATATTTTTCCGCTCATGATTTGTAAGAACAATTGGTGCTGTTAAGTTCATTTTGTTAAACATTTACGTAATGAATACCTCATACTATAATAATGTTATTGGCCGCCTTGTTAGACGGTACTCAAACAAATTAACAGTGGAACGCTAATATATCCTTTCTAAGATGTCGTAAAGTAAGTCTAGGTTAAGGTGACAAAAGATGTTCATTCCCACGATAAAATTCTATACGTGATTCAATAATATTAAATAAAAAATGTTTCCATGTATTTAGTGCATTACTATCAGCATTTTCGCGACGACACCATTTAACTGAAAAGTCCTCGATCAATTCAGCAAACATTAAAATCAATATCGGAAGGAATTCTATATTTTAGTCCTTTAAGAAATAAATTACGGATTCTCTTGTCGTTTATTATATCAAAATCACCAGTGAATATTTTGCCAAATTCCAAGTAAAGCTATGTTCTCACCGCCGATCAGATCAACTCGATCGTCCCGATCACATTAATTACCCGATGAAGCCCGACCAAGTTGGATTAAATGCACATTCACGACTCCTACACGACCTCAAGTCTATCATGTTTACGACTTCTTCTCGACGACAACCCGGCCATCATCCCGAATTCTTCTTGATCACCCAGACCTTTAGCCGAGTCATACAATATCTTAACTAGACTAACTGGACCTCTGCTTGATCGTTGCCAGATTTCCACCCCACCAGATCGGATAATGCTCGAGTAGAAGTCGAGATGATCGTGTACAGATCGGGTAAGAGATGTATACCCGATGCATACCCGACCAAACTAGATCGTTACACGATTTTTTCTCGATCAAATAGATCTTCTACTCGATCACTATACGATCGCTTCTCGACCGCATTTCTAGAGCTTATCTTAGAGTTTTTGAAATATTTAGGAATCGCGTCGGTAACGCGTTTGTCACGAAAAATACTAAGTAAATCGATGAAATCAATACCTTTGTTTAGAAAAGTAACTGTAACAAAGTGTCTGTCATGTTCAGCGGTGGCGTCGATAAGAGATCTTAAAATATACTGTGTAAAACTTTGGTATGAGGTAGGCTGCAGTATATAAAGGATCAGTTTGGATAACTATGCTATCAGCTTCTTCATCTAAAGTTTAAAGAGACCGAAAAGAAAGAGAGGTTAGACGTGATAACATAGCATGTCTACCCGAATTAGGCAGGATGTTATTTGAATCGGAAACAGACATAGTTGTTTTGATTTACGTTAAATGTTACCATTTTTACGTATTCCATGGGATCGAGATTTCCGTTTCCGTATGTCAAGAATAGAAAAAGTGTCAATAGTGGGATCTTCAGAAATATTACCTCGTTTAAAGATATTGTCATTAAGGTCACGCGGAAAAGGGGTTTGTAATTTTTTTATCCATTTCAACTCAGCTAAGTGCCTGGCTTTTACTTTGAAACTAGACGATGTATCAGAATCGTTAATAATTTGTTTCACTGGTAATCCAGAAGATTACCAATGCTGGCAAAAGCCTAAAGACACGCATTTCGCCTTTCATGTTATTTTCTCTCTTTTTTGTCAAAACCTTCCACCCACATATTAGCCCCCAACCAATCCTGTTCTGTATCCGCCCCTGACCGATGTAAATAATATGAGTTCCGCCATTATAACTATTGTGTATTGAATGTCAACTTTACAAAGACAGCTAATCACGTGATCGATCGATAACCGGGTAGAATCGAGGACGATATCTGTAAAAAAAATTTAACCAAAACACTTAAACAAAATTAACAACTTTAACGAAATAAATAATATTTGCTTAAAAATGTGTTCCAATAAGTGACAGGATATTACTGAAGAAAAAATCTTGTTCCTTACTCTTGTTATGTAATACCAGGTGAATAAAGGTAATAGATATTTAATTTTATTTTTTTAAAATTGCGTTTTACGTTACAACGACACTATAAACATAATATGGCTCCATTCCAATTAGAAGTACAGGAAATCATCTCGTACGCGCACCTATGAAGAAACATTGATCTTCTGTCTAATAGTTGGATATTTTTCCCACATGAATGAATCGAAACTACAAAAGAGAAGTTATATATAAAAAATGTCGATGTTGACTTTTGCGTTGGAGAATAGTGCTAATGTTTGTAAGGTTATTGTTTTGCAGTGTTTTTTATGCTGGGTGGAAATATTACCTGATGCAGGTCGCCATTTTGCAAACTTTTAAAACATCTACCTTTTAATTTGACCTAACATTACAGGAATATTCATAAGGTAGTCATGAAAATGTTACGAGTATTGCTTGTGTGGCTATCTTTCAAATTGGAATACAGTAAACTTCACTTATAGCGAACACGGTTACAGCGAACTTCCGGTTATAGGGAACAATTTATTTTGGCCCGAATTTTGCCCTTCTTTATTTAATATAAAAATATATGGTTATAGCGAACACGGTTATAAGGAATTATCGCTTATAAGGAACTCATTTCTAAGTCCCAATTTAGTTAATACAACAGAAAATTACACTTTTATAACGAACTCCAAAATATTGGCTATTCGTAAATAGATCATGCATTTTCAACTTTCGTTTTCATTCGCACGGATGAAAACTCGGGCGAATGCACCGTTTATCGTTGTATGTACTTCAATACATCTATTCAAATGAATTTGTATAGTTTTCTATTTAGGATATTTGTAGCATGATCTCTTTTCACCAAGATAAAACGGTTATTTATTTATTTTCTTCAATAGTTTTGCTCGAGTAAAATAATTAAAATAATTTATAATCGGTTTTCAACATAATCATGCATGCTTGCAAGCATGATCCATTGCAAACTGCAAAGTACGCTTGATTTAACTGAAAAGAAATCTATATCTTACATTAAAAAGTCACCCTTATATTATAATAGAAGATATTCAATATTAAAGGAAGGAAAAATCGAAAATCTTGTTTATTCTTAATCATGGAAAGAAAACGAAAAGAGTTTAGAAACAAAATATTATATTTTATGTGAAATTGAGATAGGGAGTAAAACTAAAACTGAAATAGCAATGATTTTCAAATTCCAAAAAGTACGCTCTCGGGTATTGTTTCTAAACTATAAATTAATGACTAATATTTCTATTCTATTTCTTAATCAAATGCTCTTCAAAAATGGCGGACAATGGTAAACAATCAGTTCGTTATATGTAAATCTGTTCGCTATAAAAACTCCTGATACAAGAAACTAATTCGCTATATGCTTACAAGGAGCTCCGGATATAAGGAACACGTTTTGAATGTCCCAGTGAGTTTGTTATAAGCGGAGTTTACTGTAATCTTATATTACCGTTTTACTTATTGAAAAAAATAATCTTAATTTGGATCCAAATTGAATCAATTCAGATCATTAGTTACGCATAAGATAATTATATCATATTACGTATAAACGGGAATATATAATATATTGATTTGATGTTAGGATTGACATTAAAAGTTAAAAGAAAAATGAAAAGTTGAAAGTCTCTAGTATCCAAAATTATCAAAACAATCAAAATGATACATTTTGATTTCGAAATTTTATTTAAGTTTGTCATCAAAGGATTGAAAATGCCCGTTTCTCAATTTAAGGATTTACACGTTAGATAGCTGACAATGATTTTAATAGGGCGAAAGTTATACGAGACGGAAGTAACAGTATGTGTCTTTTGTAAATTAAAACTTTTACACACAGTTGTTACGTTTACCAAACCTGTTGATAGAAAAAAAAACATCAACCTTAAATGAAACTACTTCTAGCGGTTATTTAGATAATTTTTCACGATATGTAATGTCCAATACCAATAAATTCTATAAATGATTGCTAAAACAATGTTTCTTACAATTATTTTTAGCTAAACATCTACTTCAGATCTTTCATGCGCTTTCAAATTATTTTTTCTATAGAAGGCTACTCTTTGCCTTGTCGTTGTGGCAGGATTATGTCGGGAGTGCGTATTATGAATGTCGAATTGATTACTTGATGTTTGTTCTCACTTTTAAGAATGAAATATTATTGCAAGAGGTCTTGTTCTTAGATTACATTGAAAAGGTCTACGTGTCGTGCACTACATGTAAATGTATGCATGATGTGCGTATTGTGAATATTCCATTAGAAAAAAATATTCAGCAAATCTCTTGTTCAGACATGAACTATTGCGACTGTACATATTTTGCTATCATAGTCTTATATTTCTTATTATTTATTTGTACAATTTTTTTCTTCATTTTATGTAACTAGAATTGAGGTTTAAAAAAAATTAGCGCGGATAATTGTCTTTATAAACACTACCAAATATATTTTCTTTTGTCTAGTGAGAAGTATGTTAAGATATTAATTTACAAGGACGTTTTTCTACCTTTTGTATATAGTACCGTATGTTAAGAGATTAATTTACAAGGACGTTTTTCTACCTTTTGTCTAGTACCGTATGTTAACGGATTAATTTACAAGGTCGTTTTCCAGCGCTTGAGGTCTTCCTTCACCAGTTATTTAAAGACTGGAAAATCACCATATGATCTCAACTGTGTTGGTGCGACGTAAAACCCAACTAAAAAGTTCCTAATGCCACATGATACATTTCTCAAATTGTATGCAAACATAAATAACTGTTTGAGAAAATGAAATAAAGAAAATAATGTTATAACTTACTGTTATTGGAGTATTTTTCAAAAATGATTTGTCAGTACTTGTGGATACTGATCTAATGTTTCGCTTTTAAAAGGACTCTACTGAAGTTTTTGACATGGAGGAATTAGAAATAATTTTTCGAGGTTAATGTTCCGTATGATATAGGTCTAGACAAATATATCTAGACAAAGTAAAAAGGATATAATAAGTGAAGATGTTAATCCATTTATAGTGTTTCTGATTTCGTTTCGTTACAGCACTAATTTTAAATGGAATTCTAGACCATAAATCATATAAAAATATCTCACAGCATTTTTATTACAAAATAGGCACGTGTGTAATTTTTTTCTTGTATTTATTTATGTAAATATGTATAATTATATTATGATGCATATCATAAATTTATGTGCTTAATCTATGTTTAAACTATAACCTATATTTACTTTGAATTATTGTATAACATGTATTGAATGTGATTTTATATACATTATATTTTTTCTATTATGTTTAAGATCTATGAAAATGGGAAATAAAGTTAATAATAATACAACTCGTTTTGCAATAAAACGAGTTTTGCAATACTTGTTGTGATGACATAATTTAGTTGCATTTTTGTCTCAACCAGTTTTGCGATAAAATGTGCTTTGCAATAAGTTATTTTGATATAAGATTTAATATCAAGATTACTCACTAAACATTCTAAAGTTCGTTTTTATTTGTTTGGGTCGTCAGACCAAACAAATAATGGTAGCGAAATTTCAGACCTTGATGCTGATAATTGCAAATGCCGAAAGTAGTCCGCTTTTTTGAAGCGGTTACTACCCTTTATATGTACACTAACACTAAAAATTCAGGGGAGATGACTGCGTAAAGATTGTCAAATGACAGGCGCATTAATTTTCAAGCAAAATAATTCCCGAATGGTCGAAGATTTCTAATATTGTTTTATTCTTTATAGATATACATGCTTATAGTAAGCTCCATGATTATTTACATCTGTGTTGAACAACAGGTTTAGCGTCGAAATAATAAAAGTTACAAACCCTAATTGAGAATAATATGGTTTTCTTCAGACCGTTAACATATAAGTACACCGTGGCCGAGCGGTTTGCACGCTCGCTTAGGAATCGAGAGGTCTGGAGTTCAAATCCAAGTTAAGGCAATTCATTTTTTTAATTGTTTAAGTCAAATAAACATTGAATTGAATATCAGTGTTGCAATAAATCTTATAGCCAATTTACTACAGTTAAACACTGGAAAGCATTGGTGGCACTATACAAAAACAAATTGGTTTATAATCTCTTTCTGACATTCTGAGACCCAAACAAATTCAGCGCCCTCTGTGCTTTGATTAACTAGTTTACTTACACACCCGAAATTTCCAATCATACAGGGTAACGCCCACTGCAGTGACGTTTCATCACCACTATATATGTTATATTGTATTCCTACATTTTTCAAGGAAGTTGAGTTCATAGTGATCATCCGACCATGACCGACGCTTAACCGACGCGAGTGAAAAATAGTGCTCTGTATTTCTGAAAATTTTGATTTATTGCGAATAGAAGAAAAGATAAGAAATTTATTTTTTAAAAAATCATGTGCAATTAAGCTTGAATTGCGGTATTAGAAATCTAGCGGATATAATTTGAAAATTCGAGTAATTCTATGAATTGATCATAGTAATTCTATGAATGGAGAGTCGCACTATTCAAATTACTCATCCGTACCTTATCATCACATTTTTTGTATGATATTCCAGATATTTTTGAAAAAGACAATTTTTATCGAATAAATTTTGTAGTTTATAATTGCAAAGTGAATATTGAAATAGAAATAGCCAGAGATGTAGATAATATATGTCTATACTGTCTACAGTAATGTACAGTAATTAGATGAATCCAACAACTTCGAGTTTACTTTATGACCTACTTGACAAGCTTATCAGCCTGTTTAGCCCATAAGGTTAGTTTTAAAGCAAAATATGTTATGAATTTGATGAATAATAATAATAAGTTCATTTATTCATGTCAGTTCGTTCCCAAACCTAAAACTTTCGTTAATAATTTCGAAGTAATTTGAGAGATCTCGAGTATTTCGTCCCCAAGACATTTCGACCTTACTGTAGCCTAGTCTCAATTTTTGGACTGCAACACAGACAGGTTTTTATGTCTGCCTTTACAAGGACAACCGGCATATACGCCTACAATTTGTTGGTCTTGTCACGGCCGTAACGTCTCTACCAAATGGGGCACATTCTTAAATATTTCAGAATAATTTTATTTTTATCTATCATGTTCAAACATTAAGTAATTCAATGAATAAAGAGCTTATATGAAAGATTAGAAAAAAAAGATTTAACCCTCAATAGCAGCCATTTAGCTGTTAAGCTGAGCCTCTGTTAATATTGCAGGTCTTGTATAATTGAGACATTAGAGTACAAGCTAGAAGCACTGTCCTATTATTTCTGACTAAACTCTTATTGATTGCTAGTTGATTCTTCATACCCACAAAAGACAAACGAGCATTATTGTAATTTTTTATTTTACCCTCACCACCCAGTGATTTTCCCCCTGTATTTTACAGCCGAATAAAGAATGTTTCCCCTCGCCCAAGAAAGGTATATTTTCCCCTTAAAATACTTATATTTTCCTCTAAAGCCCCTGTGCACATTCTTCACCAGAATGATGACTAAACATCAGCTGACTTATATCAGTCAGCAGAAGACAGAAAGCTGCTTATAGATAGCCTCTGCTAGTACCATGCACAGTAAAGTGAATAAAAATTTTTTTTTAAATGTATGGGTAAATTCCATTCCCAGTAGTTAGAATCTGATTTTCCCCTTTTCTGATTTATCATGCTATATTTTTCCCTTCAGAAAGCCACAGGTTGTTTTGAAAATTGAAGAAAAATAACTGCCATCATGATCATTGTTAACCTGAAAAATCTTCAGCCACTGAAAAGGATTTGAACCCCAGACCCCTTGATTACAAGGCAGACACACAACCATGTGGCGAAAAGGTCAACACAACAGCAAGGCTGTTTGAAATGATGTAATCACTACGTACTTCAAATAATTTAATCAGTTTTAATTAGACATTAAACAATTTTTGATAATACTGATATTCCCATTTTAACATTTTATTCACAAATATACATGTAACATCATAAAAAATGATTAGAACATTTCCTATTTAAGTGGTAATATTTTTGAGTAATATGAGGAAATATTAAATCATAAATTTTCAAATTTTATGTCATTACATGCTTTACACAATCATAATTATTATGGTGTACACATATATATACATTGAATATACACACACTAAGAGTAGTATTAGATAATTTTGAAGATGAAATCTCTTAATCGATATTTTCAGGGAAATAAAAGATCATTTACTCCAATATTCACTTGGAAAGGCTGGAACAGTGTAGCTAGAAAAGGTGTAAGATTAAAGAAAGACAGAATATTATCAAAAACAGGTTCTTGTATAATATTTGATGTATATTTCACAAATCAAACTTTTCTTCAAAAGTTATTCATGAAAACACAAGCCTTTTTACCAGTGTCACCGCGGGCCAGATTACCAGACCCATTCCCAGTGGCAAACAATCATTATCGAGTCGAAATTCTCGTTATTAAAGCTGACAATTTTGCTTCATTCCATTCCAATCCAATATGGTACCAGACAGTGATGTTCAAAAACACATTTCATTGTCAATTTTTATGTATTTTTTATGCTTTGAATGATATACAATTCGTTGGATTAACAACTTTATACAATTCAAAATACCCTGCTGGTACTGAATATTTTTCCCAATCAAGATGCAAAATTTCCCAAACTGTGCAAGGTAATTTTCCCCAAAATGTCTAGGAAAAGGCTTTAAACTGAAATTGTTTAGTTTGCATTTCAAATCTACATACTGAAATAGTCCAAGACTTGTTCATATATAGTACAGCGTAAAATAAAAGAGTGTCAGTGCATGCTCACATTTTATTATAGTGCTAGTTAATATTTCTGTCAATGGCATTAAATAACTGCATATGACAGTCTTTTTCCTTTGCTGAAAATGATTACTTACATGAAATATCATAGTATGGTGCTTTAAGGTGGTACAAATCAATCCTACAGGGCGTTACAAGGAACTGCAAAATTTACAATATAGTTTTGTTGCTTTTGTTTCTTCACCAAATGATTTAAATATGTATAACAATGTTTCCCTACCTTTTGATTGACCATTTTTCTGCTTAATGTGCCTCAATTGCTAGGATCTGCTTAATTGACAGGCTGTTTTTAAAGTTTGAAGGGATAATCTTTTGAACATTCATATTGTTTATTAAACTAACCATTATTTACAATTGTAGCCAATAAATTATTATACATTTAAATTGTATGCAGTCTAAACAAATAAATTGTATACTGTCTGAACCTATGTGACAGAAAAGTATTAGTATTAGTATGAGTATTTATTAAAGAAATTGTATTTCGAATATATTTAAATATTGTTATTGAAAGTCATTTTGTATGGCAGACACACAACTTTAGTGCTCTGCATTATAAATCTAAGAAGAAGCAAATAAGATAAGTATTTTTTGCCAATTGTTGAACTTCATATAATTGTTAATGCATTTTTTAAGGTGGTCATGCGTCACTGTCAAGCAAATGAGGATTAGCACCACAGTCTGTGGTAATCTCCAGTTTCCAGATGTAGTACAGTACAGTGTGATCATAACTGTATAGGCTAAATAACTGTTCAACCATGAACACTTGGGACTAGTTGGACTATTTTAGAGCGGTAGTCTGAGTTAGCACTTCAGTTAAATCCCCTGTCAATAGTATAGGGCCAGGCAAGAACATTGTGTTGAAGGAAAATGTTAAATATAGCTGTTTTGGCTACAAACAAAACCATCGTGATAAATTAAATCAATGATGATATTTTGACTGATTTTACTAAAAAAACTTCCATTAATTGAAGCTCCAAGGACTTGTGTCACATATGACTGCATATTGCAATTTATTAAAATATTGTGTAATATTTAGCAATGACATACATTCAGAGCTAGCATACCTCATAAGTTATAACATGTATATTAGCTTGCCTGGTTTAATGAAAAGTAATAAACCTGATGATTGAAACTATGAGAATAAATTGTTGTTATTAGTCCCCTTCAGTTTTCACCAAGAGGGGATTAAAGGCTGATCCCTTTCTCCATGTCAATGCAATCTGAATTCTGATATTACTCAAAAGGTACAAAAGCAAGATCAATCATACTGGTATCTGATATAGAACCATATGGATATTTCGCATGTTATTATAATTTATGATCCCAAAAGGGAGAGAATACAGTTGCTGCCTTAACCATCTGTCTGTATGGACTCGAGTAATATTATGGATAAATATCTGTGTTCATTCCACACAGACTTGTACTTGTGGGGAAAAAGGTTGCTCATGGGAGGAAAATAGTTTCTTATGGTGTTTTTGAGATTTTAAATGATTACAGAAAAAACCCACATTGTGATCTTAGGAAGACGTCCGTTCTTCACACTTTTGTCCGGAATATGAATGTAACTAGATACGTATTGAAGAGAATTTATGTAAACTTCACAAAATGATAGAGACTTTTAAGAGGAAGTGAAATGTGTTCAAAAACATAACTCTACCTTGCTTAATGTTTTAATTATCTCCCTTAAGTTAAAAATGCTTATTTGGAGTTTTACTTCCAAACTATCAGTGAAACTACATACAGTTGTACATACTCGAATTTGTCAAATTGTCAAAGAACAATAACTACATTCCGTAGTTTTTAAATTATCTCCCTTTATAGTACATGTACTTAATAATGCTTGTCCAGAGAAATACCTAATAGTGCTGATGGAATTTGATTAAAATTTTACACAGCGAAAACATTCAAGTGAAAGGAAGTGAAGTTTCAAAGAACCATAATTTTCCTAGCTTAATTTTACAATTATCATCTCTTATAATACATCAAAATTTAAAATATTGGTTGTCTGATGTATATCTTTTCAGTGATATCTTACTCAAACTAAACACAGTTGTAGAGACTAGTGAGCAGAGCTGTGTCAAATAACCAAAATTCTACATTACTTAGTTTTGAATTATCTCCGTTTATATTATTTCATGATATGTTATTTCATGATATTTGTTCGGAGAGAGGATTAAAATATTGAAGAAAAAGAGAAGGACTAAAATATTAAGGGAATTCGATTGAAACGTCACACAGTGAAAGAGATTAGCATGAAAAGTGCAGTTTACAAAAGCCATCATCAGTTTTAATGACATGGCCACATATATATATATAATGTGATGCAAAAATATTGACCATTCAGTGTTTTCTTGATACTGATACAGAAATATATTGATATCATTATTGATTATTTTTTCATAGTTTTGTCTCCCTTATTATGCTATGCGTTAAAAAATAGTCCAGCTAGCAGTTTCTTCTGGCAGCTTTTATTTTACTTGTTGCTCTTGTCAAAAAGGGCCAATAACAGTTTGTGATGGACCTACATGTACATGTAACCTAAATATTATATTTGAACATGTATGTCATAGAATAATTGTATCAACTACTGATAATTTACTGAATTGTGCACTTTATATTTATCAACCGGCAACACCCTTCACTCATTGAATGATTTGCCCCCGAAATAGTAAAAAAATGGTAATTTTTATTCTTCAAGTTCGTCCCAACTGCAGTGCCTTCAGCACTTTGATTTATATAAGGATTTGCATTCTCAGATTGTATTTATTAAATTTGTATGTTTTATTCAACATCAATGTCCATTCTAAAATCAGTTTGATTAAATATCAGCATATTTTCATCATCAACAATAACTGTAGATTCTAAGGACATTATGAACATCGCATAATGCCGAGCAGCAACCAAGTATTAACGTCTTTAATTAATACATATGTCCGAAATACGCGTTTAGACAACGTCGCTTATCTTCGTTGTTGCCTTTTCTAAGAAACGGACAGTTGTCATACAGTTCAACACTCCTACTAACAAAGAAAACAAGATAACACAAAAAATAAAATGTTGTTTTATTGTTGTTTTTATCGATAAATACAGAATCCTTTTTACATTTTTGTGAGAATAACATTTAGATCTAGTGCCAGTTTTTCATGAAGTTTTGTGCCTTCAAGCACGGTTTTTGAGACTGATGTCTGAGTCTAAATGCGAACCTGAGTCTAAATGCGAACGATCCGACCGTTTCCTACCGTCACTCTGAAATCATTTTTGGAATTTCTAAGGGTCATGTACAGTATTGTTTTGAGTTTATATATATCTTCAATGTTTAGCTCTGCTGATTGTGATTAATAACGTAGTAGCACGTCTACTGATTCATGCCGATTTTCATGAAAATATTGAAAATGTGTTTAAAAGTATTATTTAGTGAAATGACCGAAAGGAAGCAATTTACACATTATCAATGGCACTTACAACACACGTAAATTACTAAATAAAGGACAAAATATGCAAAAATAGCCCTGGCTTCGTTAGTAACGCAGTAGAAATATAGTTATAAATGCTGAAAATCAGTCATTAATCGCACATAACATGTAAACTATTACTTGAACCTTGAATATTTGTACTTTTCCTAAGATCTTAGTACATTTTTTCTAGTTTGATTTTATTGAACTATTTTCGCTCATCTGGAGGCATGCAGCTTTCACCTAAAAAAATGTGTGCGAGTGACTACAGTTCATTCAACGTCAGCAGCAATCTTGAAAGTAACTAAGAGTTGATTACGTCATTCTGCACGTGCGCTCATTCAATTGCCCATTATGGAAAAATTAATGCCGAGTAGCAAGGCGGCCAAAATTGCATAATGACCTAGATCTTGCCATAATGGCCCTGAAATATACCCTACATTTTGTTACTATATATAGTAGCATAGGTATTAATAATCTTATTAAACTTGTAAAGCATTTATTTTTATCAATCTAAGCGCGACCAATTTAATTTTGCAAATACGTACTGATAAATTTTAACCAGCTTGGTGTTTTAAATAATTTTTATAAACAGTCGATTTACTAGACTGATTCACAGTTTACCGATTTACCAAAGTAAGTGTGACACGATTCGTTTGAAATGCCGCAATCCTATTAGACAAAAATAATTTCAAACACTAATCTATTCTAATATAATTGTATTATGTGAGTTTACAATGGTAATCATTGTACGGAACTGGTAAAGTTTCTTTATATTATTTCTCGCAGATTATTTTAACATTCATTTTCGTCAATTAGTATGACTTTTATGATAGTTGAATGTCATTTTCAAAGTTGAATATGTAAAAAAAATTGAATTGGGAACACATTATGCAGCGGTTATCATTGTTTTTCTTGTTTTAGATTTGGAATGAACATCTAACAAAGTACTTTTGTTATCTGCGGAAGACAATGTTTGTAAACAATGGCTTCATACAGTCCTCCTAAACGTTTGGAAAGAAAATACAATAACTGGATTAAAGCCCAGTTAGCAGTGCTTTTCACCAAAGAAGGAATTGAACCTTTTGTTTGTCATGAATTTCAAGAATTTCAATTGAAATGCTTAAATGATATATGCTACAACAATGGATTAATGAGTGGAACGTTATGTTCAAGCTGCTTCACCGAAAATGTTGTCAAATGTCCAACAGATAGAATATGTAATGTTGGGCGTGGACGATGCAATTACCATCGACATTCTGCAACACGATACAATCCTACCGGCTGTCCTTACAAGATATGTCATAATTTCAAAACTGAAATACAAAATGCGCATAGGTTCTATTGTCCGTCATACAAGAACACTGATGCTACACAGTGGTGTAGTAATTCCTGGGAGGTAGCTAAATGTTTCATGCCCCCAGATGGGTACAAAGATGTAAATTGTGCACAAGAAACAGACTTCGTTGGCATGATCAGTGTTATCATCAATAACAAGGACTTTCAGTCGAAAGTACATGAAAACCTTAACAAAAAGACCAACATGTTTGAGAAGGTACCCACTATTTTAAAATTGTTTGTGTAGACCAGTCAGTCAAAGTGTACATAAAATACGTTTATACAATACTTTAAAATAAAATATCATAAATCAACATATATAAAGATAAACAATTCTGGCAACTTTGTTACTATATTAGATTTCAATAATAGTCATATTTTGATAAATATAAGGTGCGTGAGGTAGCTTCAATTTATTCAGATAAAGTGATTAGATTTTTTAGATGTATATTTTGTCGAAACTGACTTCTAAAGTTATATTAACGATGCTGTAGTTGTTTTCCCCTTTATATTCCTTTGATTTTGCCAGGCAAGAGAAATTAGTAGAACATTGAGCTATTCGCCAACATTAGAGGTAGAGGATCAGGATCTTCAACAGTTCTTTAAAGTATTTCAACAACTTCTTTCCGATACCGGATATTTAGCGACAGACACGCATGCGCAGAGTGCCAAACAAAAGCTTCTTCATGTAAGTAATCTTAAGTTTTATTATCATTATTCATTCGCTGACTCGGATCTTCAATGCCTCCTCGTTCGTCTGCAGATGTCAATGCACGAAATAGGTGCATTTACCTTATATTGATAAAGTGCTTAACACATTTCTAATTCTTAAATAAATAGCTCTCGATGAATCGATATTTTTGTATATACACTTAGAGGCACTGATTACCCGACATTTACACTTTCAGTATAAATTGTGTATTTGTGACGTATTTTGCTCAAATTTGGACCATACAAATTTCAATATATCATACTTACTACTAAGAATTTATTCGCATTTCATTGACAAGAAAATAAAAAAAAAAACAAATAGGCAATCTGATTAAAATCAGCTCTAAATAACGTACTGCTTTTAGATCTGAGAGTGGCCATATAAGAATTTATTGCTATTTCTTGACTTATATAAGATTTGCATTTTTTACCTTGTGTCGCTAATAGCCGAAAATGGCACAGCCAATCATCGGCATGCT